CCTACTTTTATGCGCTTCGTTTGATTTTTAATAGTCTTTATGTCTGTGTCTCGATTTGAACGCACAATTTGAAAAGTGCGCCAAAGTTTCCAAATACAATGAGGCTCTTATTTCTTGCCGCTGACGGCGCCTCCACGCTTCGCACCTGCTGCCAAAAAGTTTGCAGTCTTGCCGTGTTGTACATGCAACAAAATTGTAACAATCCATTTGAGCAGAGGTCGGCCCAGCCAGCAACTTCTCCAGCTCGAAGTCTGTGAGGGATTCGCCTGCGAAAGTCTTTGCTCATTTGGCATCGTCGCAAAAGTTAAGCGAACTTTGCGCCAGTTGCAACCGCGATAAACTTTTTCCCACCAGCAATTGGGCACGAGCAGGGGCAGGGGCACGAGCAGGGGCAGGAGCAGAGGCAGGGATAGGAACGGGGCCGAGATGTGGACGACCTACCAGAATGGAGCATAACTTTTGTCGCGCCGTGTGAAGCTATTGATTTATTAATAGGCCAGTAAAGAGGATCTGCCAATACCCACCCAGACTAGGCGGAAAGGCAGACTATTCAGTTCGAGTGGTTTGATTGTATTCACTGTATATTTAATTTCAAGCAGTTTCTTGTTACAGGCCGCAAAGTACCCAAAAGTACTTATTTAAGTGCAAGCACAATGCACGAAGCCAAGCGTTTGAGTGCATTCATTTCTATTCACAACTTTGAATAGTTGTGCATTTTAAGGTGTTATTCAACTTTACAGAAATGCAGCTCGCGAGTGTATTCATGAATACTCGTGTCATTTTATTAATACAATAAGGTTCTTTAATTCTTTTGCACTCATTAATTTTAATATAAAGCAAGAAAAATGTATCATTCGAAAAATATTTAATCTTATAACGATTAAATTTTGTGATCGATATTCATATATCGTTTTGCATGTGATTCACAAAACATTCAGATCATATTAATCGACGCGTATACGTGAAATATATTCGATTCACTTTGTTTGATTTGGAATGTGATATAAATGTCTTGAGTATATTCATTTCTACTCACAACTTCGAATTGAATTGGTGTCCAATAATAATAATAAATAAATATTTGTATAAATGACATAAATACTTTGGTTGTATTAATTTGTATTCACAATTTCAAAATGAATATTTGCCCAAAAGTATAATTTGGAATGGATGGCCTACTGTGATTAACAATACGAATACTAGGAGTGTATTCACACTTTAAGTGCAGCAAATTGTGGCATGTTGCAACTAGCATGATTCATGCCGGGCATCCATCAGATGGACAATGTATCTGGCTGGAGGCGCGGTCTGTTTAGTGTTCACATCGACCAGATCGGATGCGGTCAGGTGTAATCCCTCGCACAGCAAATCATTCGATTGCGACTCGACGAGGCGAAATCTTTTCATAATTCTTGTTGGTTTGTGTTTGGTTTCTTTTGAAAATTGCATGAATCTATTTGGCTAATAATAACAAACAGCAGCAGGCACACACTCCTTCCCCTATGGGCCCCCTCCCAGGGGCGGCAGCTGTGCTTTTTATTGCTCACGATTTTTTCTGCTGGACTACGAAATTTCGGCTAATATTTTATGGCAATTGATGGGAAGTGGCCGCTGCGACGTCGACTTTACGCACTTTTTGCTGGCGGTCAGCTAAGAGGAGGCTGGGGGCTGGGGGCTGGCGGCCATGGGCGTGGTCGTGGACGTGGACGTGGGCGTGGGCGTGGGTATTGGTGTGGTTGGTTCGCTTGCGCAAAGTTGAAATAAACAATAACAAATTGCGCTTGATTTGCTTTATGATGTTTACATTTCGCCCAGAGCCGCGCTGTGTGAGTGTGAATATGAATATCTGAATGTGAGTGAGTGAGTATCTGTGTGAGTGTGAGCACGCAATCGGCGCACACTGTAAAACTTAGGTTAATTAATTTTTGGAAGCCCAAGAAAAATAAATAAAAGCCAAACAAATGTTAACCATTGTAAATAAAAGCGAAACAGGGCTCTGCCAAAAATTGAAAATCCAGAAAATTTGTGGGAAAATAAATAGACCACAGGCAAAGTGGCAATAGCTGAATATCAAATGGAATATGGAAAACCAGGCCAAAATCCCTAAAGTCTAATTGATGTCTGTCAAATTTGTATAAATGTCTACATAAATCCATAACATTTAGTTTGGTGCATAAATAGTATTTGCCCAGAGCTGATTTATAGCCAAAAAGCTTGACAATTATTTCGTTCAATATAGTTCGTTCTGATTCACAGTTAAAACTTGGTTTATATCTGAACTATATTTTGAACATGTGCGAAATGGATGCGGAAAATAGTTGAGACAAGGAACTAACATGCCTTCAGACATACTTTTTTTATTGTCTGCAATCAGATTTCTTTTTAAACTCCAGCTGTAGTTTTATCCATTCATCGTCATGATGAATATGTTACTTTGATTCACTTGGCTGCTGGCTGCTGGCCGCGATTAACTTGGGCAATGATTCACGTGCTGCCCTAATTAAGAGCCAATTTTTCAAAGAGCCCTTTCAGTGCACAACAGAGCAGACAGAGACATCTGTTGTTGGAGCCGTACAAATTGGAGCAGGGGCATCTCTTCTTGCTGGCCAGAGACTGACATGCGGAGCCAGCAGCAGACGCAACTCTTTGTGTGGCTTGGACCTTTGCATGCACACAGACTTGTATCAAAGCTGGCAACTCGAATGTGATTCAATGCGGCTATTTGGGTCGTCCTTTCGTGCTGTGAGTCAACGCGGTGAAAGGTGCTCCCCGGCAACTTATCGGATATGCGAATGAATGTGAATGAATCAGCCAAGCCTTACAGCCGGCAAACATTAAATAGAATCCAGCTAAAGCTAAACAAAATTGCAGCAACTCGATTACATTGCGAATAGAAGTGGGCGTCAAAGCTGGAGGCGGTACTGTGTGTTGTTATTTTCTACGAGTGTGATTATCATTGTGTGTTTGTGTGCGAGTGTGTGTGTGCCTTGCTATAATGAAAATTCATAATCTCTTGCTTGGTCAATGCGCAAAAAAGCGCAGCACGAACCATATGGAAAATGCCAGGAATACACGGAGGCACACAAATACACACATACACACACATGCATATATGCATATGCATATGGGCAGGGAGCGGGGGCGTGGCTGAAGTTCATATCCATGTCTGTGATATGGGGCAGGATGCGTAATGAACTCGTTGTTGCTGCTATTTTTTTTTTGTTTTTCCTTTTTTTTCTGCCTTGACCATTTTAACAGGATGCCAGCAGTCGAGCTGTGGAGTGTTCAGATACCGCGCACACACACACACACACACACACACACATTCGCATGGTCATATTGTTGTCATATTGTTGCTGCCACGCCCACCCATAACTGAGCGTATGCCCTGCGGCCAACAATGGACACAAGAGCGCCAAAATGGTTAAAGTGCTGTTGTTGTAGCAAGTTATTATTGTCTGTTGTTGTTGTCATTGTCATTGTTGTTGTTATCTTCCGGATGTGTCGCTCTGTGCATATAAATCGCATTTAATTTATTGTAAATCGGATTAAATTACCAAATGTTGCACGCACGCTGCACACACTCAGCTCTATGGCAGCTCCATGCCCATGCCCATGCCCATGCCCATGCCCAGACCCATTTCCATTCCCAGTTTCATTCGAGACCCTACGTTCCGCCCCGCCCTGCCCGGGCAATATGCAGAGTCTCAGTTTACCCCTCAGTAGTTGCATTTAATGCTTTAGACACGCCAAGTCTTGAGGGCCATTTCATTTAAAGTGTGTGGCCAAAAGCGGCTTATTAACCTAAACCGACCACATTCAAGTGCAAAATGCAGGCAATCGCAAAAACCATCGCCTTGTCGGCTTTCGGGCAGCACAGATGACACAAATGAGGAGCAGCTAGATCTGAGCTCTGAGCAGCCAGCGGGCATTTGTGGGTGGCAGCTAAACGCCGCGGGGCCTCACTGTGCCACAAAGCGCGGCAGCAAAAAAATAAATGGTATTTAACAAATGATAGGTAATTGGGCAGCTGGAGAAATGGCTTTAAAGCTCGGCAAATAAAAACAGAAATTACAAGCAATTAATTCGAACGCTGCAATGCCTGAGCACAGCATATATTACTGTGTCTATCATATGTATAAAAGAACTAGCTTGTCAGCCGCATGCTTTGTATAAGTCTGAAGTTGGCGCGAATAAAACAAATATAATTTCGATACCAGTTCAAGTTTAATTTTGTCGGGTAATTTCTTGTAGTGTATATATACAACTGTGCTGCGAATATATATTTAAGCCAGTACTCGACGAGCTTTTGAAATAACTCTAGTTAAACGACTTTAACATGCTGACAAACCAGCTGTCAGATTCGCATTTACTACTTGAACTACCCAATCAAAATCGGGCAGCTTAGAAATCGCAGCGACTGTTGGCTCCCACTGACAACCTGTCACTGAGCGGCGTTGCCACAATTTTAAAATATGGAATAATTCTAGCCGTGTTACAGGAACTGTGCGAAAGAAACTGTAAAAGATTGAAAAAATGCAAAATAACTCAGAAATCGCACGGGATAAGAAGCCTACGTTTGGGTCAATTTGCGGCCGTGTCAGCCGACAGTCTCTGCTAACTGTTAATGCACATTTCCACGGCTCGTAAACGTACAGAGACAATGGAAAAGCGCGATGAAAAAGGAAACTTGAAAGCAGCTTCATGTTAAATTCAAGTGGTAATCAGTCGTGTATGTGTGTGTGTGTGCGTGAGTGTATGTGTGTGCCGATTGCAGATTGCATTTGCGATTGGCAAAAGGAAAAGAAAAGCAAAAGACTTTGAAGTGCGGCCAGCACAATTAAGCTCTCAACGCGGCGCAGCTGCAGCTGCGACTGCCACAACAAATGTATCTGTATCTGTATCCGTATCTGTAAATGTAAATGTATCTGTATCTGTATCTCAATGCCTTTCAACTGATTCTTGATCGGCTCTCAACTGTTCTATTTCGTTTTTTGCAGCCTGCGAGTGTCATCCGATCGGCTCATCTGGCAAGATCTGCAACAACACGAGCGGTCAATGTCCGTGCAAGGACGGCGTCACGGGTCTCACCTGCAATCGCTGCGCCCGCGGCTACCAACAAAGCCACTCCCCCATCGCACCGTGCATCAGTAAGTAAACGACATACCAGAGATCACAAATGGGCTTAACAAGGGATGTGTATTATTAAGTATGATGTTAGTAAATAGCCAATAAGTGCAGAAGCAAGCGCACAGTGTTTACCAGAAGTTATCGCATGGCCCAGTACGGGGAGGGGAGTCTACAAAAATGTATATTAAGTGCTTTCGAATAGGGAAAACAATTTGATTTGGAAAGAAGCCGACTTTAAACGATTTAAGTGAAGCCAAGCAAAAGGCGAAACCTGTGAAGCGCGTCTTTTGTTTCTAGCCAAAACTTAAAGGCTATAAAATCAAAACATACGTGGAAATTAGCCAAGTCCGAGCTACACGATAACAAAATAAGGCAAATCGTCAGAAAAGCTTGTCAAAATCTGTCAGTCGAACCAAACTAACTTGATATAGTCAGGCAGCAAATTATGAATTGTTGGATAGTCAGATTTCCTTGGTATTCGGGTGGTTTTTTTACTTATGAAATACAAACGGGCATAACCCGGCCTTGGCCAGGCTCAAATCTTGGACAACAAAATGTTCGACCCTCATTTCCAGCCAGCCAGGTGGATTCTCACAAATATAAGCAAATTACTTTAACGATCGGAAACAACTTTAACATTCGCTCACACAAACTTTGAACAACGTTTTCAGCCAAATGAATAGTCAGAAAGATCTTTAGAACTAAGTTTAAAGCTGATCGGAAGTATACAAAATGTTTCATGCAAACGGTTTCCACCAATTTTCCACAGTTGCGGGTGGAATTAGACATCCTATTATTATTTTTATAGTTAGCACTTTGTTTTTTTTTTTGTTGAGATAAGAAATGGGCTGAGAATATATAAAATCTGGACAAGTTCTTAAAAAATTTTGAATCTCTTTCGCAGAACAACCACCTCGCATGATCAATATGCTGGATACACAGAATACGGAGCCGGAGCCAAATGAATCTACTGGAGGCGTTGGCGTGAATAGAGGCGTCTCCTCGGCGGCCGCCCCAACGCAATATTATCGCACCGAGGGCGGCAGGGGTAAGTAAGTGCTCTCTCTCTCACTCTCACTCTCTGTCTCTCTCTCTCTCTCTCAACATTGTATGTGCTAACAAATGTTGTAGTTAATGTTGTTGTTGTTGTTGTTGTTGTTGCTGTGGTCGCTTCTACTAACTATTCCAGACGGCAAACTTTTGCCGCGTCGCTTCTCTCGCTTTGTAATCCTTTCAAATGGGTGAGAAAACACAAATCCGCTAAAGTGCAGTCGGTTGTCGGTTAAGCGGCGGCCCAGAGCCTCTAAAGAAGACAACGGTTGGCCAGAGGCGCGGGCGTCGGCGGCGGCGGCGGCGGCGGTGGCCGGGGGCTCCAAGCTGTTAGCTGCAAGCTGCTAGCTGTTAACGCACTGCGTTCGAGAGGGGGGCGTGGCTGGCCAGAACATGGCCGGCGTGGGCGGGCAGCACTTAACAGATAGTGCAAATGTTTGCATGCAACTTTTAGTTACATTTTTGCTACGCCTTGCCACAGGCGAGAGTGAAAGGGGGGTGAGTGTGCCTTGCAACGCTGCAGCAACAAGCAAGCAAGCAAACAGAATGCGCAACAACGGCATAAATCATGCTAAAGCCTCCTACCAACAGTCGCCCCACCACCCTGCGCCCACGCCCACGCCCACGCCCAGCCCCCATTGGCGCCGTGAGGCGGCGCGTGGCCGAAGTAAAAGCAAAGCAAACTTTTCACAAAGTGGCAAAGCGAATGGCGAGCAGCAAATAGAAACCAAACTCGCAACGCAAATGTATTAAAAAGTTTCTTTATTTAATTTGCTCATGAATGAGCAGCGGCGTCCAGCGACAATGGCCGCACACTTTTGAGCGGCACTGTTGCAGCTGCAGTCGCTAATTGCTGCCAACTATTTGCATTTAACAGCAGCAACTGCAGCAGCAGCAGGCAGCCAAATGACAAATTGACAAGAACTTGACAGCAGCGACTCGACTTTGGAAGATAAGAAGGCGATACGAACGCGTTTCGCTTGACAAAACAAATCGTTAGACTTGGCAGCTATATCGCCTAGAAGATGCAATTGCGATAATTCCTTCGCAGACACTTCATCTAACTTTTACGACGCGCTTCGCAAAAGGCAGGACGCTGGTTCGAACCGTAAACTGAAACACCGACAGACTTGTCGAACCAAACTTAAAGGCAGGTCGCTGGCTCGAAGCGCAAACCGAAACACACACTACTTCTCTTTTTGGTTCTCAGACTTGTCGAACAGAAACTAAAGGCAGGACAATGGCTCAAACCGGAAACTGAAGCATCGACAATTTTGTGTTGGGCCTGCAGTCTTGTTGAACCGAGCCTTTAAGCAGAGACTTGGTCCGAACCGAAAACTGTAACATTGACAATTTTTTGATGGGCTTACAATCTTTTCGAGTCTAAGATATAGGCAGGGCGCTGGTTCGAAGCACAAACTGAAACACCGAGAATCCTTTTTGCAGAATACAAAACTATTGTCCTGGCAGAGCAAAATCTCTGCACGAATAATGATCGCCTTCTAGACATATTCTGACTGGGTTGCTTCAATGCTCTGCCAGAGCATTCGCTCACGCATGAAGTCCTGGCGCTCTCAAAAGCTTAATTCAAACAAGATTCACAGAGAAAAGAAAAGTTGAAAACTGTAAAAAAAATCAACAAAAATGAAGGGGAAAATCAAGAAAAGCGAACTGTGACAAGTTCTCAGAGCTAAATACGAGCGCACATTGGGCGCCCATTCAGAAGAGCATCCATCATCAAATGCAAATACGACTTGAGTCAAAGTGGCTGTGCTGAGCCCCGCCCCTTCCTAAGGCAACAGCCTCCAAAAAAACAGACAGCAGTCAGTTAAATTTATTTGTCAATGGCAAAGAAAAGCGCAAAGTTGATGCTGCGAAAACCCAAGCTGAAGTTGAAGTTGAAGTTTGCACGCTTGTAACCAAGAAGCGCACTAGAAAGATGGACAAAGTCTAACACACGCAGACACACACACACACACACACACACGCACGCACACACACAAACTGCCTAAAAGTTAGTCCTTGCATAGTGTGCGCTGCGGGGCAGAGCTCGCTCGAGCCTGGGCAAGGGGAGGAAGGAACTGAGCCTGGGCGTGGGCGAGACAGCTCGACATGAATATTAATTATGAATTTATAATTTGATAATCTTATTAAATTAATTTGAAATTCTGTCGGGTCTGAGTTAATTTAAAGTTAGTGCCCAAAATACACCTCATCCCCCCCTCCTCACCCCTCAGGCAACCTCAACCCGCCCCGCCCCTCGCTGCACAACCTTGCCGCATATATCTGATTTTGCATGCGAAATTTAATGACATGTTAATGTGATGCACAATTAAATGATTAACGAGTCGGTTACGGAACGAATTGAATTGAAAGCGGACACACGAGTACTGCTCGACAATTTGGGACCGTTGCCGAGTGGGCGTGGCCGGTGCTCTTTAGCGCCAGCGCCGCAAATAGCCGCGATAAATATCGCTGGGCCACTTGGCGGGCAGCGAGAAGCCCGCCCTGAAAGTCAATTTATTCGGAGCTCGTTTCGTTGTTTGAAAAGTGCGTCCATAAATACCGAATTGGAGAGGCGAGATCGACGAAATGTTGGCGCACCCAGACAAATATAGAAGCCAACACCGCCCCACCCGCCACCCGCCACCCCCCATCCACCCGCTCTGTCGATCAATCGATCGATCGATCGATCGAACGTTTGTTCATATAGTACAAAGTCAATTGTGTCACGATTTGCTGGCAATGTCTCTGACATTGGCAACCGCAGCTAAAACAACAAATATTCGAGGGTGCCCGACAGCAAGATACCCTGTAATTGGCCTGAGCAGGCATCCCACACAGCCTTAGGGAGCAGCTCTCCTCTTCTCAACTGCTTTTCATATTCCATTTTCATATTCATATTCATATTCATATTCATTCCAAACATCAAGATCTATCAGCGAGAAGTGTGTTTTTTAGGGTTAAAAAAAACTTACCACCAATCTATAGAAAAAGCAGAAAGAACAAGAATATTCAGGGGGCCTCAGATGGAATACTCATACAGATGTCCGACCAACTGGTACTATACGAGGTATAGGAGGAGCACAGTAAGGCGCGAAAATGCTAATTTTAATTAGATCCTTAAACACAGACAAATTTTCCTTCCACACAATTTTTCAACCGATCATGCCTGAAGTGGTATATGCTACAGTATGATATAGTGTAGAATAAGTATAGCAGACAGTGAAGCTTGTTAATTTCATTGGAAACATAACGTTTTTTGTGCTTCTTACTTTTTGCGGATCGTCAAACTTAATCAAATAATATAATATTTCTTAATAATAATTAAAGTTGTCCTACTACGGGTTTCGACACCAGTTGCGGCTGCATCAGTAAGTCTAAAGGCTTAAGAAATGTTTAACCGATCGTTCCTGCGACAGCTATGTACTCCGAACTATGTTAAGTTATCTGAAGATATCTTTCAAAACGAGAGACTGCAAACAGAGATAGAAACTGACAGACGGACAGACTCGGCTGCGGATGCAGATCGAGAATGTATATATATATATATATATATATATTCACATTTCGTGACTTTACTATAATATTCTCTTGCCAGCTTTAAGAGTCTCTGAGAGGTAAATCAAAAATGGATTGGATTAGATTAGATTTGATTTTAAAGAACGAAAAAACCTAAACTCCAAATTGGAGCTCACTAGCTCAAACAGAGTCTGGCGGAGATGATGATCGACTGATCAAGAAATTATATGTATATGTACTTTTGTGTTGTCAGGTTTGTCTATTTCTACATTTGCTGCTCTGCTTATTCGCTTCAAGTGCTGCTGTCTACAGGGTATAAAACAACAACAACAACAGCAGTTGCTACTAAAACAACAAACGATGCAATTTGCATTGCAGCAATCACAACAGACGAACAGGAGGCTAATTTTAGTACACAAAAGGAGGCACGGACGACCTTAGACTGCCCCAAATGGTGCTGCTGGGGTGTGGGAGAGGGGAAACTGTTCGCCAGGGTTGGCAAGGGGCGGGGCGGGGCGGGGCGGGGCATCAGTCTTAATGCCGATCGCGCTTTAATGCAGTTATTGCTGCAGCAGCGCCTGTTTCTGTTTCTGTTGGACACGCTAATTGGCATTGGCCATAAAGACATAAATTTTGCAATTAAATTGTAAACACAAACACGCAAGAAGTAACCCAGGGCTCCGTGACAGGGGAGGGGGGTGAAATCTGAATTTCCATAAATGCATGCAACTGCGCACCAATTCTCTTAACATCTCTCCCCTTTCGATCTCTTCTCTCTTCGCAGAATGCGAAAAGTGCAGAATCAGCACCAAAAGGTTAAACCTCAACAAATTCTGCAAACGAGATTACGGTAAGCGGGCATCGAGAATGCATTGGAAAGCTTTCGATAAGATTATAATTCTCCAATTCTCCAATTCTCAGCAATAATGGCCAAAGTAATTGGCCGCGATACGAGCAGCGAGGCGGCCAGCAACGAGCGCAGGCGCGCAATGGATCCGGACGTGGACTACGAAATGGATCAGCAGCCGGCGGGGGGCCAGGAGTACGAGTATCAGGCGGCGGCGGCTGGGATCGGCAGCGCCAGCGTTCCGGACTATCCAAACGACAGCGAAACGGCGCGCTTCGATCTGCAAATTCAGGCGGTATTCAAGCGCAGCAGAACCAGCGCCTATGGAATGCCGAATACAATGCTGAAACGAGGTCCTATGACCTGGATCATACCGATTAAGAATTTGGAGTGCCGCTGTCCCAAGATCAAACTCAACAGGTAAGAATAAAACAAGTAAGAGGTTCTAGTCGGGAGCTCCCGACTAGGGGATGCCCTGAACATTCGACAGCATTCGACAGGTATAAAATTAAGAATACTTCATATATACATATATACTATTCTAGAAGCTACATGTTTAATTTGGTGACTCTAGCTCATATTATTTACCAAAATTGTTCAAAAACAGGATTTCGATATCGATTTTTATCGATTACTTAGAAACGGGGCAAGTTATCGAATATGGGAAACAAACTCGATATGCGCGGGCACTAGGAGAACCTACAGCTAAAATTTCAAGTCTCTAGCTCTTATAGGTTCTGAGATCCTTGCGTTCATACATACGGACGGACGGCCAGACAGACGGACATGGCTAGATCGACTCGGCTGTTGATGCTGATCAATAATATATATACTTTATGGGGTCGGAGATGCTTCCTTCTGCCTGTTACATACATTTGCACAAATATATAATCCCTCTTTTTACCCATTTTCAATGGGTTAAGGGTATAATTAAAGAGCTCTAGTCGGGAATGTTCTATGACTCTAGGTATCTCCAGCAACGTATATCAGACCAGGCCAATATTCGATTTAATAACTAAGGAGTTAACAGTCCGATCCTATTGAAATTTTCAGGGAATATCTATGACACCTTAAAGTGTATAGGTTCTTAAGCCCAAGACTTTACTGAGTTGTTTACCATTTTGGCTGGGAACGAGTGTAGATATAAAAGAACCCACATACTGAATTTAAGATATCGACTATTCACGTATTTATATCAATCTATCAACTCTTGTGCTCTTTCTAGATCCTATTTGATATTGGGGCGGGACTCAGAGGCACCGCCCGGCTATCTGGGCATTGGTCCGCGTTCGATAGTCATCGAGTGGAAGGAAGATTGGTATCGACGCATGAAGCGCTTTCAACGGCGAGCGCGCACCTGTGCGTAGATGTGCCGTCCACATCTTTGTCACAGATTTTGCTGTCAATTTAATTACCTACCTTCAACGATTTTTTTTTTTTTTTGCTAACCATATGTGTAGATTTTAGAGCCTTAATTAAGAATTTAAAATATCAAATCAAAGCGTCGCAACTCCAAAACATAGCCAAGTTTTCGCTTCACTTTGTTTCCGACTCCTATATATATATATATACATATATATACATATATACAAATGTATTATTTTTTTCTTGTTTGTTTTGGCCAAGTTAATTAGCGGTACTTTAATTTGACTAACAGCTGCATTTAATTTGATTTGTTTAGCATTTTAAGGCCTACATAGCTATATTTAATTTATTTAATTAACTTTAATTGTTATTTGACTATCAGTGTACGCAAGTATTTATATATATAAAAAACTATATATGTAATCTATATGATTTGTATTATTTTGTACCATAAGAAACCTTCTCTCAACGCCCCCTAATTCACAGATACATAAGGTCTGCTATCTATTAACAAACGCGAACAATAACTACAATAGTCTCAAGAAACAAGCAACAGCAAATTAGCCCAATAAGCATTAATATCTATAAGCAACAGAGAATGCAATGTGCGAAAACGTAAATCAAATCTTGAATAATGTTTAAAAGTAACGCATAAAACATAAATAAATAGATATTGTACAGTGCAACCCACAAATAATTTGTTTCATTTTCTGAAATATTCGAAATCATTTTCGTTTTTGAATTTCATATTTGAATTAGCCGCGAAAACATTTAAAAGTCAACTGTGACCAGTGCTGCCACCCTTGCAGCATTGCCATTATGAACGATATATATCGGCTTAGACATGGCGATGGTATTATTAATATACCCTTATTGGCAAAAGGATTAAAGCTACATTCAGGCAAAATACCAAATCGGCGACCATTAAGTATTTCAAAGTATTTTCATTTTATAATTCCTAAATATGATTTCAAAATCAATGGGAATCGTAAAATAAAAATACACAACTGCGCATTTGGTATTTTGCTCGGTGTATATCGATAACAAGTTGTTGCAATATCGAACACAAACAACCAACAGCAGACGCGCCAAAAAGCATTGGCAAAAAGTGTGGCAGCGTCGAGATTTGCAATTAGTTTCAGTTGGCACGGAATAAATAATAATTTAGGTGAGAATGAGCACGAGCCTGGACGAATCAATATGCGCATATTTTGTCAACAACACAAAAAGCGAAACGGAGGCCGACTTGGCCATCGCTGAGCAATATGCCAACGCATTAAAGCTGATGCGCGAGCAGCTGGCGGACACACAAATCCGGGAGATACGTGCGAGCGAGGGATTTCCGCTGATCGCCGGCGGCGGCCTGACCAAAAAGGATGTATTCGTGCTGGCCCACTTCGAGGGCGATCTATTCCAGCAGCTGCAGCTGACAAAAGCCCTGGTACTGGGTCCGCCGTGCATTGTGGAGTGCCTGCGCCAGAACGAGCCGGTGCCGCTGGGCAGCAGCACCATATACACAACGGCCATGCGTGACCTGCAGATCTCGGCCAGCGGCATTAGCAGCAAGGAGAAGGACGAGCTGAAGAAGCTGATACACTGGATGGGCGGACACTATTTCCAAAACTTTGGGCGCAACATCACACATCTCATTTCCAATACTATCAAGTCCAACAAGTACGAGCATGCCACGCTCAACGGTGTGTCCGTCATGCACGTCGACTGGGTGCAGCGCGTCTGGGAGTGCAGTCACAGTGGCAGCAATAGCAGCAGCATTCGTGCCACGGACCAGCAGTTCGAAAAGTACCGTCTGCCCACGTTCTTTGGGGCAAATATCACGTGCAGCGGCCTGGAGACGGCGAAAAAGGATGCGGTCATGCGTCTGGTGAATGAGAACGGTGGCATCTATCATCGCGCCTTTCGCTCCCAGCAGGTGGACATTGTGATCACGGAACAGTCGAAGACCGATTCCGACAAGTACAAGGCTGCACTGCGCTTCAAAAAGGACATCCTGCTGCCCGAATGGGTATTCGATAGCCACGAGCGCGGCTATGCGCTGCCCACCAAACAGTACGAGGTGCGGCCTCGCAAGCAGATCTCCACGCCCACCAAGCAACACGTCCATCTGAACGCTGCCGACAACACCCAGCTGTCGGATCTGTCGCGGATTAGCTTTGTCAGCGCTCCGGGACGTCGCATGTGCAGCGACCAGACCACCGTCAACGAGACGCTCAGCAGCAACTGCAGCACCAGCAGCGGCAGCGGCGGCGGCAGAATCACCCGCAGCGGGAGCGGGAGCGGTAGCCACTTGCCTGCCAAACAGCTGCTCAAGCAGGCCACCGCCAGCAGCGGCAGCAGCCATAAACAGCAAGTCTATCAGCAGACTCTGGCCGAGATTAGTCCGCGCAAGGCGAAGCAGGCGGGCAGCTTCCTGGACGGCTGCTGCGTCTATCTGAGCGGCTTTCGCAACGCCGAGCGCGAGAAGCTGCATCGTGTGCTCAATACGGGCGGCGCCACACGCTACGATGATCCGCACGAGGGCCTGACCCACATCATAGTCGGCCAGCTGGAGGATGCCGCCTATCGGCAATGGCAGAGCGAAGGACTGCTGCCCACGGTCCAGGTGGTGAGGCTCGAGTGGCTGCTGGAGAGCATGCGTGCCGGTCACGTAGTCAGCGAGCTGCCACACCGTGTCCATCTGCCGCATGGCTGTGAGGCAGCCGACGCCGCCTCGCCGGCCAGCAAGCGTACGCTGCGCTCCATGAATCACAGCTTCAAGCAGCCAACGTTGCCCATCAAGAAGAAGCTGTTCGAGCACGCAGAGGCGCAGCTGCAACCAGAGCCGGAACCTGAACCCGAACCCGATCTGCTAACACACTACTCCCAGGAACAGGAGCCTGCCATGCCGTTGCCCGCCGCCAGCTCCACCCAACTGTCGCTAACGGCCCTGACAGCTGCGCCCTCTGCTGCTCCACGGCCCTCTGGTTTGCCTGTCGCGCTGCCCGATCTGAGCGCAAGCACGCTCTCCATAGACTTTGACAGGCTGGACTACTTCATGGGCGCATCGGTGTACGTGCACGAGGCGTGCTTTAGCAGCGAGCTCTACGACCAGATGCTCAGCGAGTGCAAGGCCGCCCAGGGCTCCCTGGTGCCGCCCAGCTACACGGATCCGGTGGACTATGCCATTGTCAGCTTCGAGCAGGTGATTGATGAGTCCGTGCTGCCTGTGAGTGCCCGTCATGTGGTCACCGAGCTGTACCTGGAGAGCTGCATGAAGCAGAACAAGCTGCTTCCCCTGGAGTACTATCATCGGCCGGTGCCATATGGCGCGCGGCTGGAGCCACTGCGTGGCATGACCATTGTGGTGTCCATTTATGCGGGCCTAGAGCGTGACTACATCAATGCGCTGGCCGAGCTGCTCGGCGCCGTGCTGAACAAGGCGTTTGTGAAGAAGGAGCGGCCGCTTCTGATCTGCTCCAGTGCCGAGGGCTCCAAGTACGAGGGTGCCCTCAAATGGGGCTATCCGGTGGTGCACGCCGACTGGCTGCTGCAGTGCGCCCAACGCGGCGAGAAGCTTCCTTACGCGCGTTTCCTTGTGGGTAAAAGCGCCAGCGATTTCCCCGTCTCGCCCGGCCTCCGGGAGAGCAACAAGAGCAGCAGCAGCAAAACGCTGACGCCCAAAAGCAATACGCCTATCACGCCCCTTAATAAGTCGTCCGCGGCGGCGGAACAGCAACAGCAGACGCTGCGGGAGGAGGATAAGGAGCAGCAGCCCCATCAGCCCGAGTTAACGCCCCTGCGTAATCCGCGCATCTCGGAGCTGGTCACGGGAATGGCCAGCACGCGGCGACGCAGCTCGGGCGGCGCCTCGACGCCCGAGTCGCCGCACACGCCGCTGAACCACAAGACCAGCGCCGGCGGCGCTGCGTGCAATTTTGATTTCCTGGAGCAGGTGGTGCAGCGGCTGGACACGAGCCAGGCGCGCGATTGCGTGCGCCAGATAATACGTGAGATGCGCGAGAACCAAACGCCGGAGCTGGAGCGGATCAGGCGACAGGCGTGCACGCCCGTCAATCGCCGCCAGACAACACGACCCGCCCCGGGCATACCCAATTTCTGTCTGACTCCCGAGTTCCAGCAGCGCATGGCCGACGATTTCGAGCGCCGCTGGCGACTGCCCAAGCACCAGATTAAGCCGGACACGCCCCTAACGGTCATAAGGCAGCGTGTGATGCGCATCACCTGCGAGACGCTGGGTATTGACTACAACGCCGCTGAGGGCGGCGAGAGTGTGGATGAGGAGGAGGAAGCGCATCATCAGAAGAGCAGAGGAGCGATGGAGCCGCCAGTGGGGCGTCTACTATTCCAGCCAGAGCCAGCGACCAACATTACGGCAGCCGCCGCCGCCGCACCCGGCTCACCGTTTGTGCCCAGCACCCAGAGTCCCAGAACTGCGAGTGAGGAGCTGCCCAGCGGCAGCACAATTAACTTTGACAAGATCAGCTTCGAGGAGACCACGAACAATTCAATGGAGCTTAAGCAGATTACCGACTACCTGAAGAGCCGCGAGTCACGCAGGAGCAGCCTGAAGCGCGACCATGAGGGTCAGACCAGAAGCGAGGCACAGTATGTGCAGCCATTCGAGTCGGAGGGCTTTGCTTTGACCGCCGGCGAGGATATTGTGGGCTGGCGTGATCCCGCCGAGTTCAATGGAGGCAAGCGTAGCTCCGATGCCGACTCGCCGCGTATGCGGTACCAGGGCACGCCCTGCTTCAGCATCTCCTGCGGCGACGATGAGCAGAAGCGCACGCTGCTCATGGAACGCATTCGGCTGCTGGGCGGCCAGATCTGCCAGAATCTTTCCAACTATGATGCCGCCTGTACGCATCTGCTGTGCGAGCGTCCGAATCGCGGCGAGAAACTGCTCGGCTGCATGGCGGCCGGCAAGTGGGTGCTGAATATCAATTATATCGAGGAGTGTCATGCCCGTGGCGCCTTTCTCGATGAGTGTCTATACGAATGGGGCAATCCCAAGGCACTCAATCTGCCCACACTGGCGCCGGAGGAGCAGCAGATCGCCGTCGCCGCACATCGCTGGCGCACCGAGCTAACGGCCGGCAGCGGCGCCTTCAGCGATTATTGTGTCATACTCAGCCTGCAGGAGCGCAATCTGGCGGCCATCAAGAATGTGCTACGTGCCGGCGGCGCCACCATTTTGGAGCCTAGCTCACCCTTCAGCTCGGACGCAACGGCGGCTAGTGCCACCCACTGCTTCGTAGACATCAAGAAGGCGCCTCTGGACGCACAGGACTTTGCCTACCTACAGCAGCGCGGCGTCCGCATCATGTCCCAAATGTGCATCAACAGCTATCTCATGGGTGGACGCGATACCAATCTGGAGAAGTACGTCCTGCGGCAGTAACAACCGAATTCCGGAGTTCTTATATTTATCTCCATTTAATTTCCTTTTTTTTACTTGTTTAAATTCACTTCATGTTTAATAATGTTGGATCTGATGTCCAGACCCGACCGAAGTCTGATTTCAATCTAGTTGTAAGATTGCTATTAAATGTTCGTTTAGATAAAACCGCAAATTGAACCGATTTTTAGAAACAGAGACAGCAATTGGGAAGTTGGGTGAGTGAGCACTAGTTAGTACTCATATAATATAAAAGTATTTGGAGATAACTCGTGACCAGGTCTGAATTTCCTCTACATACGTACATATATTTCTATTGATATATAAATATATATGTAAATATGCACTTACCCGAAAAATTCATATCAAAAAGAACGATATTTTTTAGTATAGGCATCTATTAGAGCGAGAGAGAAAGACAGCCAGAGTTGGCCTGTAAGAGAGTAAATTATAAGATTATAGATAATTTAAGAAAACCCCTTGGGGTCTTGCTTAAATTCGCGAGAATCGAATAGAAGGGCGATAGGCTTCTTTAATTGCATTTGGTATAAGAGAAAATACACGACGCATATTATTCGGCCTTGCCTTGAGTACAAAGGTCATATCTTTCCAAGATCGGACTTCATTTAACCGAGTTAAGGTAACTTTAAAGTTTCAAAAAATTTGTATAAATGAAATATCTCGGGTACATTAAGTCCAATCCTGGAATGATCTACCTTTGTGGACAAACACTGGTAACTACAATCGATTAGCATCCAAAAAAAAAACTAATTCAAAAATGGTTCTGTTTTGAATTACATTCTTTTTGAATTCCAATCTATTTTATGGAGTTTCTTGAGTACATAAGGGCATATGTTTCGAAGATTTGGCTTGGTTTATAGTCGATTAACGGTTTCAAAAATTATATAACAATATTTTTGCAAAGTGTGCTCAACTTTTAAAGGATTAATTTAGTTTGTTTCAAAATATGAATTTCCAATTACTAAATATAACTTTTAAAGAATTTGCAAATATTTGGAATACGATATTTAAGATGAAATTTACAATTTTTAATAGTGTTTTGCACAAGTAGATTGCTTTAAAATATAGTCTCAATTGAAAGAGTTGAGACTTCTCTTGTATTATTTTGGTTTTTTTTTTTTAAGTTTTTATTTTGTGTTACACAATAAGGAATATTAAGTTGATTTTCATGTTACTTGCATGCTTATAATATGTATGTAGCTCAGTATATGTATTTATGTATGCATGTGTGTACTATGGCTACATCATGTACCTACTATGTATGTACGGGTATACAAATATATATAATGCGGCCATCGAAAAATAGTTGAAATTGCTGAGCAGCTGCCGCCTGTAGCTTATATTTTTATAGCTGCCTTTAATTTCAATATTTATAACAATTTTATACATATATGTAATTGTCGTACATGAATATATACATATATATATATATTCATGAATATATAACTATATATATATGTATATCATCTATGTGTTTATAGATTGTATTATTTGTATAGAAAGTAGATATATATATATCAATCGCCGCCTGGACACCAAGAAAAGAACATAGAAACACATAAACCGGAACTCGATACGATGCCATACTTAACTATATCATACTAAACAACTTGATCTAACGACCTCGGCGAAGACTGATTTAGTCTAGGTAGTCCATGGTCTTGATAAACTTGACTACGGAACCGAACAGCGTCCAATAGAACTCATCCTCGCCGTCGAGCTTCTTGCCCAGGAAGCAACTAATATACTCCACGGTAGAGAGCAGATAGGGTGGATTTGCCTGGTATATGGAGAGAAAGAGCGAAAGATGATTGCAGCTGCAGTGACTGGCGACTGGCACACTTGGCCACTTACCATTATAACCACATAAATGAGCACGGGCAGGACATCGTCGGCGGCAGGCACACGGCAGCTGGACATGCGCAGCAAGCTCATAATGCAGGAGATGCAGCTGTGAAAGTAAGAATTGGATATGAAGCAGTCGATTTGTGATTCGTTTCACTCACTTGATAATGCAGTTCAGCTTCTCGCGCGGCGTCTTGTAGGCGGCCATGTGGCACAGCTGCTGCTGGGCAAACGTCCAGGGCGCCTCGCCCAGATACTCCTGGGCAATGCAGAGCGCAGGATGCGCCGGATGCACAAATCGCTGCAGCTTGCCAATGTGCGCCGCGAGCACACCGTCTCTTGACACGTCAGCATCCTCGTTGGGAAACATCACCTGCTCGTACATTTGCTCCATCAGCAGTCGCTCAATGGCCACGCGTGCTGCCTCTCGCTGCCAATCGTCCTGGAGGCCGCCCTCGCGCAACTCCTGCAACAGACTCTCGACAAACTCCTCGATCAGCTCCAGCCGCTCGTCGCTAACGCTGAGCAGCGCGAACTCGGCCTGGAAGGTCTGCAGCTTCGCCTGCTGCCGTCCCAAATACAAACGCACCAGCGACTGCAGCAGGCAGCGCTGGCAGCTGCGCGCCTCGCCACGCAGTCGCTCCTCGAGCTGCTCCAACTGCTCGGCGCGCAACAGCAGCTGCTGGCGATGCACGAGCAGGTACTGCAGATAGCTTTGCCTGCGCTGCATATCGTGCTGGAGTTCCAGCAGCAGCTGGGCATGCTGCGGCCGCTCCAGTTGCGCCAAACAGCGCAGCGCCTCCGACACATACGAGATCTGTGGTAAACGCTGCAGACTGGTGCACTGCGCCAGCTGGATCTGGAGGTAAGTCTGCAGAGGCGTCGCATCCAGCGGGCGCAACGTTGTCTGCCGGAAATCGCCGCTGTGCAGATCAGTCTTGGAAAGGACCGTGCGCAGCTTCTGTTTAACACTGCTGAACACCACGCCAGGTAATTGTCTAAAAGAGAACGTTCGAGTGAGATACAAATATAAAACGAACAGGAAAGAGAGAGAGAGAGAGAGAGAGACTTTTCCACATGCCTAACCAACACCTAAAAACTCTGAGCTCAGAGCAAAAGTTACAATGCACTTTATCTGCCTGGCAAGCATTAACAATGTGACCTTTTAATACGGACTAAACACAATTTTAAAATATTTTGGAAGTTCCTTAATTTTTATACTTGATCACGAAGTGTTCCTCATCATAGCCTTTTTTCGGCTCTATTTAAGTTAGGGACTTGAGACTTGGAATATATACTCGGGAATACCCTCGAATGATAATGATTGGATTGAAAAATTGCACAGTTTTATAGCTAAAGTGACCAACTTTGGAATGAAGACGACAAATTTCACATGGTTTTGATAATAATAATGTAAAGGGAGTCTCACAAAAGGGAGAGAGAGAGACAGAGAGAGAGAAGGCCCCTGCGAGCGAGTCAGTCTATTTGTCCAGATGAGCTCGACCTCCCTGATGAAGGGAAGCAGTTGCCTTGCTAAAGGAGCCGTGGTCTGAGCTAAAGCGGCAACTCTTTAGCCAGATGCTTTCTTCTAACCCAAGTCGCGGCTGGACACTCACTGCATTGTTATTGCGTCTACCTCCAAGCAGAGATTATATTTGAGTGTGTGCGTGTGGTGTATTTGGGGTATATGCAAAATGTGACAGAAAGAGCTGCCAGGCACTTACCCGCCGTTAATGGCCTGGCCGTGCGCTGAGGGCAGACCGTGGCCATTGCCCGCGGAGTCGGAATTGGTGGCTTCGCTGGAGCTGCTGACCTTGCGCCTGTATTTGGCCAGAATGTCTTCGCTGCTATCACAGTAGTGGGCGCCGTAGCTGACGCATGCAGCGCCCGGATCAAAGCTGACGGTGCGATTTGGATCGTTGATGCCGCCGCTGTGGCTGCCGTTGTTGACGTTGTTGCCGATGCTGCCGCTGGCCAAGCGCTGGCTGGCTGCAGAGGAAGACGATTTGCTGTTGTTGCCGCGCCGATTCTTGAAGATGCCTTGCTTCAGTTTATTGAGAATGCCAGCGCTCTGCTCGCGCTGATCCCGCTGCCCGGCGCGATGCTTCTCCTTGTCCGCGCTGGCATCGAAGCTGATGCTCTTTGGTATGGCGCCAGTGGCCTTGCTGGGTTTGGACTGGCTGGCGGCAGGGTTGGGCGGATCATCGTGCAGCTGCAGCTGCTGTGCCTGGGCGCAAAGCAACTGCAGCTCCTGCTCCTGCTGCTTATCATCGTCCGTTTTGGCCTCGGCGGGCAACATGGCATGCAGCATTATCTCGTGATTTTCATAATTGAGACTCTGATGCCGGCGCTCACCGCCGCCGGCCAGTATGCCATTGCGTCGCCCATCCACGCTGGCCGTGCGCTGTTCCATGGAAATGCGACGATGCTGCACACCACCCCGCAAATGCTGGTCGTCCCCAAACCTGTCCAGCAGCTGCTGCACCAGACCGGGTGGATCCTCCTTGTCCTCGCTGTAGTCACTGAAGTCGATCAGATCATGCTGATTGCTGGCTGCTGCGTGCAGCAGCAGCTGCTGCTGTTGCTTCTTCTTCTTGTGGTGATGATGATGGTGGTGGTGGTGATGATGATGGTGTTTTTCTTGTTGCTGCTGCTGCAGCTGCAGCTGTTTGGTGGACGTCGGCTCTTCCAGATTGAGGCTCTGATTGGAAATGCTGCTCTCGGCCGAGGTCTGGCGCCGCATGCAGGCGGTGCCCATGAGCGGGGTGCTCTTCCTGCCCTCCGCTGCGCTGCATTTGTACTGCTGCTGGAAGCTGCTGTCGGCACTGTCGCTGCCCAGGCCATGGTAGCTGGTGCGCACCGAGCTGCGCGCTAGCGACGAGGCCGCATGATAATGATGCGCATCGTCGTACGAATTGACCGCATCGAAGAACGCCGAGTCCTCCTGGCTGCGCTCGCTGGCACTGCCAGCATTGCCATTGCCGTCGGCATCCGGATCTCCATCCGCATCGCCGTCGCCGCTGCTGCCCGGCGTCTGATCGCCATCATCGAGGTTGACAGCTGGCGCCAGTGGGGCGGCAGTGTCCGATTTGGCTGTTATGCTCGCATTATCGTCCGTATCGATCTCGGCCAGCTTCTCGGAATCGCTGGCCAGCACATCGGTGCTCCAATTGGACTCGGAACGCTGATCGGAGGCGTCCAGCGCCGGAGCAGCGGCTCGTGCGAGCGCTTCTACCACAAAGTTGTTATTGTCGCCGGGCAGCACCACAGCGGTTGGTATCAGGGGCGTGGAAAAGTTGCGTTCGCGCTCCCTGTCTCTGTCCCGCTCTCGCTCAATGGTGGTATCCAGCGTGTTCTCCGAATCGCTGGCCAGCACATCCGTCGACCAGGTGTCCGAAATGATGCTCACATTCTCATCGCCCTCGAACTTCTTCAGCTCGAACTTGCAGAACTTGTCCTCGATGTCGGAGCGCGCCTTCGATAGCAGCATCTTTTGCATCTGTGGCGTCGGGCGTGCCGCATGATGGGCCAGCTCGCCGCCGGCGCCATCGCCATCGGTTACCTGGGACGACGGCGTGTCCCGGCCACTAATGTTGGGCGTGCCACGGCCGGACACATTGGCGGAGACCATGTCCGATAGATTATCATCGTTTTCGGCATCGTGCACATCGCGCTCCTGCTGCTCCTCCAGATCCAGTGAGCTGGCCACCGAATGATTTGCGGAATGTGCCGCTTCGCTGATCGCCTCCAGATTGTCCGAGTTGGCAATTGAGGCGTCGTCCTGGGGTCGACGCATCGCCTCCAAGCTGCTGACATCATCCGCATTGGAGGATGCAGCTGCGGCTGCAACTGCTACCGGTACAATATCCTGCCCGATGCAGTTCATCTTCAGCAAATCCTCCTCGGTCAGTGGCTTTAGTTTGCTCTTGGAAGCCGCATTATAAATGCTAAACATCAGCACCGGCTCATCCCCGTCCGCAGCATCTGCTGCAGCATCTGGTAGAGTTGGCCCGGCTGCAACAGTTGCAGTTGCAGCTGCAGCTGCAGCTGCCCCAGCTGCTCCGTTGGTGGTGCCTCCACAGGAGCTGAGGCTGGTGTTGCTGCCGCTGTGCGAGGAGGAGCACTGCTCTAGATCTCCATTGGCCCCTGAAGATTGTCCATTTGCTGTGCTGCCATTGCCCAGCTCTGGGGCGTGGGTGCCGCTGCTGCTGCTGTTGTTATTGTTGTTGTTCTGGTTGTTGTTGTTGGTGCTGCTAAAGCTCATGCCCTTGGCCAGCTTCTTTTTGGTGGCCTTGCCAAGCCGCATGAGTCCCTTGTTCGAGCGTTTACCATTCTTCTCGGACGTGAGCGCATCGGCGGCGGCGGGCATGGAAGACGCTGCTGTACTCAACTGTGCTCCTGACTTGGGTATGCGCAACAGGATACGCTGCAGCCGCTGCCGCTCCTCGGCGGACACATCGTATTCGTCGCGTGCAGCCAGCAGGCGAAAGAAGTCGGCGAATTGCTGCAGCTCGCGCTGATTGATGGCAAGCTGGGCGCGGTCAAAGTCGCTCTGTTGCGGAAGAATGGCCACCACATCCTCGCCCGTCTGGCCCAGCAGCAGCAGCTCCATCAGCTGGGTCAGCTCGCTGGGCTCATCGCTTAGCGCCATGCGCTGCAGCAGCTGCACAATCTGGTTGAGATTGTGACGCATCTGCTCGTTCACGTTGACATCAATGATGCCTAGCAGATCGGCGCTGACAATGGCCGGGCAAATGAAGTGCGTGAAGACCAGATCCGCGAGCAGTTGACGTATCTCATAGTCGCTGTGGCGTTGCGTCTGGCGCAGCTGCTGGCCGAGCGTCTGCAGCAGCCAGCGCAGTGAGCTGGGAAAGAGCGCCCAGCTCTGTTGCAAGCAGCGCACAAATGCCTGTGCATGGCTGTGCAACTTGCCCAGGGTATCCGCATGGAAGCGCGCCACATTCCGCTGATAGTCCGCACTGCCTTCATCCTCGCCAAAGCGACGTTGACGCTCGCGCGCCGTAAAGCTCTGCAGCAGCTTGTGTGGATCCACATCGAGCAGCACCTCGTGCTCGCTCAACACCGCCATCAGCGGCTCATGCAGCGCCGCCGTCAGAAAGATGCGCGCCGAGAAGAGCGACTCCACCAGCCGCTGATAGAGCCGGGCAAAGGCGCTGCCATTTGTACGCAGCAGACGACGCGGCTGCTCGCTGCTCAGCAGCTGCAGCTCGATCAGCTCCCGCAGTAGCTTCAGCAGCAGCTCCACATCCTTTGTGTTGATCGCATTCCCATAGAGACCTGTTGCGATTGTATTCACGATCTGACCCAGCTGCGCCGGCGCCAGCAGCGACAGGCGATCCGCTGTGGCCAGCGACAGGGCCAGCAAATATGGCGCGTTGTACAAATAGTTGAACAGATCCTCATAGGCAAGAGCGTGCTAGAGTGCGAGAAAGCGAGAGACACAAAACTGGTTAGAAACATAAATCACTATCTCTATCTCTATCTTTATATATAAAAGAGTTTGTCCCGACTTATTTGTGATTAACGGTTAAACGATAAGGAACAGAAGCTGCTTTTTGTGTTGAAACTGAGCACCAAGATGTTGTTTTGGAAAATACTTCATGAGCCTGCGTGGCTTAACTACCTGAGCGTCGGACTAACGAGCGAGAAGTAGCTGGTTTAAATTCAGCAGAAATATTCAATTTTTATACATGTTTCTTATTATTCACAATGAGAAAATCAATAATAATGAGACACAACTAAGAAATTAAAAGCATTTTCTTTTGTTTAGATTTGTTAGCACTTCCCAATTAGTCGATTGAGTAATATGCGTCGTCAAACTAAGCGCGATATTCAGAGTTTGAGTACTGAGAAGCAGATGATGATAAGGAGAAAGAAACATTTGACACCAGCCCAGCGTCAAGACTGGCCACTAATGAGCTACTTATTTTCTCGACTTATTAGCAGATAACCCATTTCATTCCCTTCGTTTACTCCACAAGCATTACAATGGGCCAATTAGCTGATGGTTATTATTAGCCCCGACTAAATAGCCAATATGTAGGTTGGATTAAGTCACATAAGTTGCTGATAACTTTCGACTACAATTTACGCCTTAAAGTTACCGACATGCATTAAATTTGAACTAAAAATAGTTTCCGGAATTGTAACGACTCCGTACAAGGGCAAAGCTGTATCTAAATGAATGTTTCCTCTATTCGCATCGGAAAATGTTCTTTGTTGTCTGGATTTGCATGCGCAGAAGCCAACTGATATGTACATGATACATGGATATATAGTGCGAATATACATTTATATGTATATGAACATGAACATATATTTGTTTTGGGTTACCAACCTCGTAGGGCAACACCTGTTTGGCATCCATAAATGGGGCATTGTCGTAGGCGCTAGCACGTCGGCAACAGAGAAGCGGATCGTGATCCGTTCTGGCCAGCAGCAGATCATGCAGGTTCTGTCTTTGTTGAGCGCAGATGTACGCCAGCTAAACGAGTGGAGATAAAACAGGGCGGGGATGTTAATTAAATAAAGAGCAATGCGACGTGACATCGTTAATATGTAAATATGGGTGCGAACCTTTGTTATTGTCGCCGCATTGGTCTCCAGCGCACCGGTGAGCTGGGCAAAGGCCGCCTGCTCGTGCTGAATGAAGAGCTGCTCCTGGCGCAGGGTGCGTGCCAGATCCATGATCTCCAGCAGATTGCCGGCAGCTGTGGGCTCCATGGTCAGGCCCTAGCTGACTGTAAGAAACAGAACAATATTCCATTTAATCTACATTTAAAATTATTAAATTATTACATTTAAAATGTCTTTTTTTCATTCATAATATTTCTAAGGAACATTCCGTTATTTATCAAACTCTTTTTTAAAGTTGTTTTTCTTTTATGACTGTTCAATTTAATTTAATATTTATATTATACAACAATTAAAGAGAAATATTGGATATTGATAAATGTTGGAACTGATTGGAATACATGGAAATTGTTGCAGCTGCATGGAACTTTGACAGAATTCTATTTTTGCTTATCGAATTTCGAACGCTTCCCTTTCCGACATTTTAGTTCAGTTGTTCAAGGTTGTTCTGCGTTTTCAATTATAATGCATGGCTTATTGGATTTACATGTACATACATGTCCGTATGGGTATTACAATAATTGGGATTTAAAATGTATAAAGTTGAATTGTTGTATCGCAACTTTCCCTGCTGTTTCCCATACTCAAGTCAAAAACTATTTGTACGCCAATTAACGCGCATTTGCTATTTGACAGGGCTACGCGTCAGTTACATTCATCTGATAAATACATGTACTGATAATGCATATATGTATATATATATACATACAATAAAGCTAATGTAGCTGAACAGCATTAGCTCGTGCAAAGCGAGCTATTGCCAAAGCTTATCAACCTGTTTTGATTTCACAGCATTACGAGTCTGAAATCTATGTGCCCATTTTGGAATACAAATTTAACTACATATCTATTATTTTTAATTTTACTTTAAATTCGAAACACTATATTTCCAGCGTTACATTTGCCCAACGGTAACAGAATAAAACAAATAAGCTCTAGTTGGGAGTTCCCTCTTCTACCCTCGTTAGTTAGCTAAGGGACGTGGGCGGGGGCGACGATAGCTATAAAAAGAAAGATACTTGATATATAAATATACACTATTCAAGAAGCTACATGTCGAATTTGGTGACTCTAGCTCTTATAAGCCAAGAGATTTGCTCAAAAGACAGGATTACGATAACGATTTTTATGGATTACTTAGAAACGGCTTCGATTATCGGACAAACCCGTACTGCGTTGGCACTAGGAGGACTTACGTTCAAAATTTCAAGTCTCTAGCTCTTAAAGGTTCTGAGATCCTTGAGTTAACACATACGGACAGACGGACTAGCTAGATCGTCTCTGCTATCGATGCTGATCAAGAATATATACATAATTTATGCGATCGATTTGCACAAAAACATTTTACCCTTTTTACCCCATTTCAATGGGTTCAGGGTATAAATACTTAGCATCTGTTTTAAGCAATTAAATGGGCCATTAATATCTGGGCACCCAGAGCTTTGATTGATAATACAAACATGTGACAAGCATGTGAAAGATGCCGTAAGCGAGATGCAGTTGTTGCCACAAAGTACTATTATTAGCTGTATGTGAGAAAGGTGCTTAATAGCTGCTCCTGATTCTCGATAGCACGACTGTGGGGATGCATTAATAACTTATATGATACATTGGGCCACCGATTTGACCACGTAAGTGACATGAATTGTGCAGTGTCATGCCAAGGGCTAAATAGCGAGGACACCGTATTAATAAAACAAACACATTATGGGACTGATGACGTCTTCCGCTAAGCTTACGTGTATTCAGAAATGTGATACAACCTTTGCCAGGATATAAAAAGAAGCATACAACAGTTTTCCAGCCAACTTTCACATTAGTGGGTGGATATCAAAGTCAAGCTATTACGATTAAAGATGTGCATCCATATGTTAATATGTAAATATGTATGCATGTTATTAGTCGAATGATAATAAGGAGACCGAAAATTCAATACTTAGGTTTACATAGAGATTGGTACTTTTTTTTTTTAACTATAGTACACATATTTGGTAATTATTTGACTTTTCGACTATCTTATCGATACGTGAAGCTACGTTCGGTCGACTTCAAGTCTTAGCAGTGCTTTACACACACATGACAAATTAGATAAACGCCATGACCAATTGGCAGGTAACCGGCGAGAGGTGACTGGGCTCATGGAATGCGCTGCAAGTGGTGCTGATCAAATTCTACAACGGGGAATGTGTGTGTGTGTGTTTGTGTGCAAATTGCGGAAAATGGCAAAAATGAGGAATGTGAAACAAAAAAACAAAACAATACAGATTTAATGCGCTCATTACACACACACACACATGCAGAGCCAGACATATTGCGACACAGACATCCCGTCAAGGGGGCGTTTAAATGTGCCAACAGATTGGGGGCTGGCGATCTCTCTTTGTAAATGTGTGTGTGAGCGCGCTTAAATTTGTTATTTCACGTACCATGCACTGAATACAACGAATACGAATGACAATCAAAGCGTACACGCCAATCGCCAAATGAATGGGAAATGCAATAGCAATCGCTGACGGGCGGGCAAGGGAGAGAAGCACACAAGAAGAAACAGAATGCGCGACCGAGCGCGCATTAGGCGAAGGCCAAGTGCTTCTTTGTTGTTGTCGTTGTTGTTGTTGTTGTTGTTGCTGCTGCTGATGTCTTGTGCCTTGCCGTAAAGAAAGCCAACGACTTATGAATGAAAGAGATGCGTTACAACAAATACAATCACTGTGAGCCAGCGACGTCATAACAAGCTAATAATAATAAAACGCACGCATGCATACATACGTACATACATATCTATGTTTGTATGTATAGAGAAAAATGTCTTGCATTAAAAGGCGCACACAGCCACACACGACACATTAACACACCTAAATTTTTCTTAAAGTTGTTATTTGATCTTGTAATTATTTAGCATTTATTGTCACGGCACATGAGAGACAAAACGAGGTGCCCGCCTACGCAGTCGATGGCAATTAAACAACTGTCTTATAGCGCGTGTGAAGTTGCGCTGGCGCTGAAGTTGTTTGCCAGTGCGATTTACTGTGGGCTGGCTGGCTGCTGCTGTTGCTGCTGCATATTCACATTCACATTCACATGCACACAACTACAACCACACACAACAGATATCTTTTCGACTGCGTCTGTCTTTTTGGGCTTTGCTTACTTTTGGCTGTGCTGTTGTGGCTTCGTTTAAATAATGCTTTGCTTTATTCCGTTAACAATTCATAAATGCAAAGCAGAACAAATTAGGTAAATAACATTAACAAAAACAAAAAGAAAAATCAGTACAATAGCAATCACACGCGTCGGTCAAATAGAAATAACAAAAACAATCAACTCATTACTTCTACGATTACATATACACTGAAATGGAAAATAAACCACAGCTTGTTATCGATACTCTGGGCAGCTATCGATGTGCATGTTCGCTACAGCTCTGGCAATTAGTGTTGTGCTTGCATGTAATGCGAGTGTTTCGCAACACTAAACTAGATTCCGGCATTGACAGCTGTTTTGCGCTTAGTTTTAGTTTTGTAGCACATTAAGTTACTTTGCTTTGTTAAAAAAAAATAAAAAAATGCCAAAAGTCCGTCGCAGTCGTAAACCACCACCAGATGGCTGGGAGCTAATCGAACCGACGCTAGAGGAACTGGAACAAAAAATGCGCGAAGGTATGTTAAAATGCCGAATGTCCACATACTACAAGTGGCCACATATAAAGCATTTCGGTATTTGCAGCCGAGACCGAACCACATGAGGGCAAACGCATTACAGAATCGCTGTGGCCCATCTTTAAAATACACCACCAGAAGACTCGCTACATCTACGACTTGTTCTACCGCCGCAAGGCCATCAGCCGCGAGCTGTACGACTACTGTTTGAAGGAGAAGATTGCCGACTCCAATTTAATAGCCAAATGGAAGAAGTCCGGCTATGAGAATCTATGTTGTCTGCGATGCATCCAAACACGCGACACCAACTTTGGCACCAATTGCATTTGCCGCGTGCCTAAGTCTAAGCTGGAGGAGGGCCGCATTGTGGAATGCGTCCACTGCGGCTGTCGCGGCTGCTCCGGCTAATCAATACAAATAGATTGTTCTTAATATATATAGCTTAACGACTTATAGAAATATTTTTGATTTTATTATTAATCTGTGTTCCACTTGACGATGCATCGAGTGAAACTTTAGTTTCTATGTAAATACTCTTAAATTCTGCTCAAGAATATAACAAAAATGTGTTCCTATGCGACAGAATCATATTGTACAATGACAGTTGTTTATCTGCTTTTTATAAACTTTGCATAAATACGTCGTGTAGACACGTTCTAATTTTATTGCTATCATTTTTAAGAGACTTAAATGTTCACAAATAAGCAGGACCAAAATTCAATTAAATATGGATGTTTTATATTTATTTATTTATTTAAGAATTGGTCATTTGTCTAATGTAAATTCAAGTTGAAAAGCAGTCCAAACGCACAAGATTTTTACAAATTAAGTCTGCATTATCTTCTGGTATCACTAGCAGCTCGTAAAACACATTTTATGTATTCGTAAAGTTATCCCAAATTATACGGGCGCCTGCCAAATTTGGTGTGTGACTCCCATATATCACACTTGCCAGGTTTTATGTGCACAAATGTAATAAAAGAAGTTAACTATACGAATGTGATATATGTATTACGGCTAATAAAAGAGCACTCTGTGCTTGGTTTTCAATCGAATATTTTGCTTTCGTTTCGCAATATTCAAACTAGAGTATTAAGAGATTTGTGGTCAGGTCTATACATTAAGAATTTTTTATAAATATATTAAAAATAGATATATTAAGAAATAAGCAGCTTATAAAAACAGATATTGAAAATTGTATGTAACAAATATTTTATACATACATTTTGAATTATAATTATTGGATATAGCTAAACAAAATGATTAGCGTTACCTTTTAAATGGTTCTGGCAACTATGACCTTTGCCTAAGATCATAGTTTATGCATAAATAAGGCTGGAACTCGAACCCGGACCTCTTTTTCGACTCTAGAAATTTAAATTTTAAGCAATTTAAAAAGAATTAATAATGACAATTGGTTTTAGTGAACATTCTAGATTAAGTACTTATATTATACTAATGTAAAATATGTACCTATATATAAAAATGGAAAAAACAAAAAACAACAAGCAGATTGTCTGAATAGCTATTTCAAGAACCTTCCGTTTCTATAACCGGCAGATAATACCATCGACTCTATGATTGCAAATGCTTTGTCGCCTTTGCAAAGCTGTAACTTGATGAGTATCGCAAGCGTTAAGCAACATGAAAACATTAAAGCGAGCATACTTGAGTCCCTTTCTTGTGTGCATTTCACCCTAGGGCAACAGCTAAACAATAATCGTAATTTAACAACCGCACAGTTATTTAAATGCTCACCTTGATGGCATTTCCGCCCACATTCCTAAACACGATGCTGTTGGGTGTCCTGCCAGACTGTGCTATATATTTTTAACAAAATAAGGGAAAAAAAGAGTTGTCAAGGCTCGAATGAATGCCTCAAAATCCTATTTTATTTCCATACCCACTATATATACATATACATATATACATATATAGGCGATACATGTTTGCCATTTTGTAGTAAATTCTCGCCACAAATCCTATTGGGCGTCCATTGCCGCCTCCCCACTCATGTGTGTGTGCGTGTGTGTGTGTGTGTGTGTGTGTGTTTGTACGTGTGGGTTCACGTTCTAGTCTCCGGCTTCTGTTGCGCCACAAAAATTGCATGTACACACACACATACACACACTCACACACACGTATCGTATATTTTAATTTAATGCCCTGAGCAATTTATTACTGCGCTGACATAATTCAAACTCAATGGCATTGGCGTTGTGGGCTTCTTCCCAGAGAATGGAGCATGGACCCTGTCGCTTTATGTGCGTATTTATGGGTCCTGTATGTTTTTTTTCTGTTTTTTTATTTTTTTGGGCGCCCACAGTCGGAAATTGTCAGCGCCGGACTTGACTGGACTTCAAGTGGCAGCTGGTTTGGTTTGGTTGGGGGCAGGAGGAAGCTGGTTTCTATGCTTGGCTTCTGGCTGGGTCAGAGGATTCGACAAAATGATTATAAATGGTTTTTTAATTATACTTATGAGCAGAAATGTTCTTCTACTCTCATTTAGCAGCCAGCTGGAAATAGAATCTCATTTTCTATCATAACATTTTGCGTCGATTTGTAATATAATACTGGTTAGAATTTTTGGGATCTGTTGCTGACAGAGCTCATCTCAGTCTCTGCCCCAAAACGGGGATGGGCAATTTATTTTTGGACTAACTGCTTCCTTCTAGCGACAGGCAATGTGAACGATTTTTATTCTCTCGGCCATATAACAACATTTATACACATACATATACACATATATATGTACATATATGTACATACATTGTCAAGTACATGCATAAGTTTGAAGGATGCTCAACCAGGCACTGTGCGAATTACAATTAAAATTACAATTGCTAAAAACATTTTCTGGAATTCGAATCTTTGCCACATTGCAGCCGGGCAGCTCGTTAAAATTGTATCTTTAATGACCCGAGTGGCGCCTCCAAAAGTTAATGAAGTGGTAATCGGATTCGGCATGCGTTCAACATTAAAGTCGCAACAAAGCGTGTTTCGTAAAAAAAAAAGAAAAAAGAAAGCGTAATATTCATCCTTAATAGACCTCTACTCAACCTCTACCCTTAAAGAGGCTATTACCATTTCGTCACGAAATGTGTAACGCGCAGCAGGAGATGTTTTCGATCCCCAGAGAGACGGTTTTTTAGACCCCATATAAGTAGCATAAGCACCTTCTTAAACAGTTTAAATAGTCGAGGTGATATAGAAATCTACCGATTTCTGTTCCTACTTTATAGAATATGTATATATATATATCATATATAGCTGCCTTAGGAATGAGCTATCCAAAATGTAGTCCAAGCACGAATTACTCTTTAATTCCAAAAGATATCTCAACTAAACTTGGCATTAAAGAGTATTAGTATAGCTCTATATGATAAATCAGTTGAAAAAGTAGTTGCTTTTATGTTTGGCTTGTATGTTTTCAAAATATTCCGTAACAAAACTATCTAATTTTGAGCTCTCCTAATCTCTTAACATATCTGCAAGTCGAAATACTATACGAATGGCTCATATAGCAGCATATGGGATCAGGCGAAACTCAAGTTTTCTGCAAGGGTATTTTATATTCGGCGTGCTGGTGTTCAGCTATAAATTTGGCTGTCGTATCATAAGCAAAATCTTAACGAGTAACAAATATCAGAACTTAAAGCTGGTTAAAATCTCGCCCGGAATATATTAAATTAAAACTTAAAGCTGGTTGATATATTGCCCGAAATTTGTTCGGAATTGTTAGGAATTTATTTTTTGAAAAGTCTTCTACTGCTGGCTGGCATATAAATAAATATATAAATATATAAATATATAATATATAATAAATATAAATATATTAAAGATGGCTAAATTGCTTTAAATGCCAAGGGAAAAGCACATATAAATAAAGTTTAAAATTGTTATAAAATGCTGGCCAAAAAAAAAAACAAAAAAAAAACAAGATTAAACTCAATTAAAGGCCAAACTTTTCCGCATGTTTTGCTAACAATATAATATGAATGCATATATATATATATCTCTATATATAAAACTGTTTGTCCTGACTGACTGACTGACTGACTGACTGATTGGTGATCAACGCACAGCCCAAACCGTAAGAGCTAGGAAGCTGAAATTTTCACTGTAGCTACTTTATGTGATGTAGGTGCACGTTAAGACGGGGTTTCGGGAAATTCCACCCGCAAGTGTGGAAAAATCGCGAAAAACGTTTGTATGTAACTTTTTTGTTTACTATCCGATCGGCCTCAAACTTATTTTCAAAGATATTTGTTCTAATTCATTTGAGGGGTGTTTCACACTTTTATGAAAATCCGTTCCTCCTTGGTGGAAATGGAGGTCAAAGATTTGGTGGGTGACGTTTCGCGCTCAAATTCGTTTCCAAAGATCTATAAGAAAAATCATTTGAGACGTGTTTCACACTTTTCGCAGAATCCAAACTTTTTCGGGGGGAATGCGACTCAAAGATTTTTGTGCGAAGTTTTAAATTGTGTCCGATTTGCTTCAAACTTATTTTCAAAGCTCTACATAAGGATGTAATGAATACGTGTTTCAGCGATTTGGGAAATTCCACTCGCAACAGTGGTAAATTGGCGGAAAACGTGTGTATGAAAGTTATTTGTTTACCGTCCGATCAGTTTCAAAATCATTCCAAATTTGTTTGAGAACATTGATTTTATAACATACGTGCCGCGGGCAAGGCCGGGTTATACCCGCAAGTATATACATATATATGTATGTTCAGCCAAAAAGTTTCCATTAAAAGCGAAATATTATTGTTGTGCTGTTTCGCCCTGGTGTACAGTAATGCAAGTAATTGAGTCCACTGTCACATCAAGTATTATTGGGGTTTTTTGTGCCTAGATTTTGTTATTGTCTGAGCAGAGGCACTTAATTTAATTGTTGTGCCAATTGCCCGGCTTTTACCTACGTGCACTACGTGAACTGCTGCAACAGGCAGCAACATGTCCGCCAGCCCGGTCAGCACTGGCCTGACAAATCGTCGGGACGGGCCAATCTATCAACTCAAAATGGCTACCTGCCACCAGTGCCACGGCTGCCACATGCAGCACTTGAACGGCCATAGGATGTGAGACCGCAGTCGGGTTAAGCCCCGGCCACAGGTACGCCGGCCCTCAGACCAAAACAGACGCGGGCTCAGACGCTTCTTGATTGGTTTATGGCACAGCGCTTATCGAAATCGCCTCCCCCCGCCCACCACGATTTTCCCATTATCAGTGTGCGAATGTAAATGCCAGTTGCTTAGCTCCTCACCCATATTGACAGCCCGATAAGCCGCTCTTGAACTTGGCGTCGTGTTGGCCAAAACTGTTTGCTCAGTCGATTTCCAACTAGCTGCGCACAATGCTCGGTCGCACCTAACTATTTCGATTTTGCTCTTATCTTAATGCTGTTGGATCACGCTGTTTGGGCTACAATAGAACATGAAAATCTTACTTTACACAGCCCCAGATAGTTGCCAGATAATGGTGTATATGCGCACTAATCTAAATATGTACTTTTTTACGCAGATACTTTATTAACATTTGCCACATCTGAGCCGAACAGCCTGATATTTATATATTCACTTTAATACCCTTGTATAGGGTGTTAGAAGAAGATGTAGAAGGGGACATCTCCGACCCCATAAAGTATATATATATATTCTCGATCAACATCTACGGCCGAGTTGCTATAGCCATGTCTGCCTGTCCGTCCGTCCAACTATCTGTTTCTATGCGAATTAGTCTCTCTTTCTGTTGCAGGCAGTACAGATGTCGGAACCGGCCGGATCGGATCACTATATCATATAGTTGTCATAGGAACGATCAGTCGAAAAGTAGGAAGATGTCTTCCAACTCAAATATTCCTGATGTTGTGGGTCAATTTGACCACGTAATCGAATAAATATCTGCTTTATATTTGAAAGTTCTGTCACGAACCGATTTTGTCTCCGACCTCATAAAGAATATACATATATCCTTGAACAGTATCAACAGTTGAATCGATAAAGTCGACGTCAGTCTGTCCGTTTGTCTGTTTCTGGCAGCACATACTATATATAGCTCTAACGAGTAGGCCAACAAAATAATTTTAATTATGATAAGCTTTTCCCAATGCCGACAATTTGGAGACTTTCTGTTCTTCAAACATACGGCAAAGCCATATTACATTTATTTCCCTCATACAGGAATCATCTGTCGGAAATAAATCGGAAAATTTTGCAGAAAATCGCATTTAAGCCGTAATTCTATAAGGGTTTTTAGTATTCGGCGTGCCAAAGATAATCGGATTTTCTTTGATATTGCTAATGGATGTGCGTCATTTCTACTCCCCAATCTGGCGTATCTAAGAATCTTTCGTATTAAGTATTGTATTGAATAAATGAAGTTAATAACGATTAAATATGGTTATATAAAACTATTTAAGATCTCATATATATCTAGAAAAAGCATATCTTTATATTTATATTAATGTTATTATTAGATTTATAGGGTTTATAAAAAAAAATATTAATAATTAATTTAAGTAATTAAGTCGCATATGTATATGTCAGATTATCTTCAAGAAAGATATATTCTTCCCATTTTATTTTACATTTTATATTCGATTTATAAAGTTTATTAATATTAATAATCATATATACATATATATATATTTAACATTATTTTAGATTTCTAAACCTATATATCAGATTAATTTTAGGTAAAAACGTATTTTTCTCACTTTTCTTGTATATTAATTTTGTATTAAAATTATAGTGTTAAATAAATATTATTATTTCTTAAGAAAGGCGTATTTTTCTGTTATATTAAGCTTTGTATTTAATTAATTTAAATCAAATGTTATCTCTACAAATTATTTTCTATCTTTTACATTAATTTTTGTTTTAGATTAATAAAGGTAATTTAAATTAAATATTGTTAAAGTGTTCCCAGCTGCATATAGTTTATCAGAATATATTTAAGAGAGATCTTATATATAATCTTAATTATTGTTATTTAAGAATATTAATGAATTTAATTAAAGGGAAATATTATTAAATATTTTTTGTATTCCCTAATAGCATGTATGTATGTACATATATCAGAGTTTGTATCAAGAAAAGTCGAATCTATTTTATTATAATTAATTTGTGCATTATATTAAAATGAATATAGAATATTATCGCATAGTGTCGGTTGATTTATAGCCGCGCATCATTCAATAGTTAAATCGGAAACAAAATAGTTAGCACCTGTGCCAGATGAGGTCAAGAAGGTCGCAAACAACTCGCACGCTAATCCGTTTGTTTACGTGGCCCTTTCCTGGGTCACTCTCGGGGCAGGTACTTGCCCAGGTAGGCATTGCATGTGGTCGAGGCACAATCGTGATCATAAAATGGCCACCAGTTGATTCATAATGGCTGCAAATGCCGTGCAGGCAATCGCGTTGACCTGACCGGGGCGGAGCGTGTGCTGCTGCGGCGGCCTATAAAAGCGACGTGCCGACAAGTGGTCGCCAGCAATTGCAGTTCTGATTTCGGGGCAAGCAGATCGACAGCTAAAGGCGATCAGTAAACCAAACAACTGACTATGGAACAGAGCAATCTTTATCTACACAAATTTTATACACAGCTGGGCCACTATCCAGCACATGGCATCAGTGTGCATCCAACTAAGCTGCCGGCATTGCCTGGCAATAAGCCGGAGCAAATTGACGAGCTGGTCGCCGTGGAGCTGCAGCATCTGAAGACCCACTATGCCGACGAGGAGCAGCGCTATGTGGACCAAATGCTCATAGAGAATCCCATTGTGGTTGAGCGGCGTGCGGCACCAACCAAAGCACAGAGCACAACACTGGCAGCCACGACACAGACCCGCAACCAGTGCCAGATCCAGGCGCAGACCCAGACCGTGCCCAACAGTAGGGACGCACAGCGTCAGCGCGCCGAATCCTGCCGCAAGTCGCGCTACAACAACAAGATCAAGAAGGCGAAGCTGCGCTTCCGGCACAAGTTCGTCTGCAGCCAGCTGACGGAGAGCGCCGGCGCCCTGGACTACATGCGCGAGGTGATCGCCCAGGCGGAGGCGCAGCTAATGGCTCGCGGCTTCAGTCAAGTTGCCCTGGAGCGTATGCGTCAGAACTTCGGCGTGGACCGCTGTGGTGCAGCGATAACGACAATGGACCATTGAAACCAGCCGCTGGCGTTCTACATTACACTAATTTTTTTAAGTTGTACAAAGAGTGAGCGAGAGCGCGAGAGAGATAGTGAGCGAGAGGCAGAAAGAGAGAGAGAGAGCACATATGTAAGATATAGACTAAGAAAAGTTAACGTATTATTAATATTTTTTTTATTGTTTTTTTTTTTATAAATAGACTCAGAAAAATATTTTTAAAAAATCGCCTAAGCTGTAAGATATTAGCTAAGACAAGTTATCGTATTATTAATATTTTTTTTATTGTTTTCGAATAAACATGATCAGAAAAATATAAAAAAAAATCTATTTAATTATTTAGGATATTCCACACGCAACTGTGGATAATTAGCGTAAAGCACTAGTCTTTGCTGATTTGTTGCTTACCATTCGTTCTGCCTCAAACTCATTTCCACAGATCTTTGTGAAAATTTATTTGTTGAATGTTTCGCACTTTATGTCAAAGGTTGCGTGAGCTTAATTTCGAATTCAAACTCATTTCCAATGATCTTTATACAAATTCATTTAAGATGAGCTCTACACTTTTTGGAAGCTGTACGTGCCTCAGCGATTTTGGAGATTCCACACGCAACTGTGAAAAATTGGCGGAAACGGTTGCCTGTATTGTTTTTGCTTGCCATTCGATCGGTCTCAAGCTCAATTTAAATAGATTTATTTGCGATACGTGTCACACCTTGTCGCAAAAACCACGCCACTTGGATAACAAATTAGATTCAAAGATTGTATGAAGAAAAGTTTATGTTAAGGGTTTGAGGTTAAGAGCAGATAACGTTGCTTCGAACTTTTGGCTCCTAATTCGCTGGACTTTAACACACTTTAAATATGTATGTAGAACATAACGTGGTTAAGATTTAAATCTAAAATAAAGTTTTCCACGGGCAGAAAATGGGTGGAAATAGCAAATCCAAGATTTTGAGCAAATATCTTCTTAAAGAGAATAATATTACTGTTTAATTAGTATAATTTTAGCGGAACTATTTGTCACTTCACGTAGGGTATTTAATCTCATTCAGACGGATTCAAGCAGTGTCTTTATGTACGGAATGACTTGTTAGGCAAATGGAGTGGCAACTGTTTGGCTTGCAATGACGATTCGTAGAATGTAATTCAATTGCAAGCCGGGGGCATCAGCGCGACTCAAAGTCGCTGCCGGGCCACACACTGAAACCAAACTGGCAATCTGATGCGAATGCACTGCTGGCTTTGCTGCCTCTGCCAGGTGCCAAATCCGGCGTGATTGCATTTTCTTTCCCTCTTCTCTTTATATTTTTTTTCCACTTACGCCAACAGATGTAAATGCAATGGAACTTATAGCCGTCAGGGCCATGGGGAGCTCTATATTGGGCTCAATACAGCTACGTTTTTTTTTTTTTTTATTTTTTTGGTGCGAAATGATGTGGAATTAAGTGCAAAAATATATAAGAATGCAACTGGCACAATGGCCAATGGCATTGGCAATGCCGCAAAAGCATTTGTGCTGATGTAAAAATTTCATTTTCACGTGCTACGTACAAATGATTTCAATTCGCTTCGCTGCACTGCAGCAGAGTCTGCCCCGTCGCTGCGAACCGTTCACTAGGCAACCGCAAATGACACGCACGTCGGCGTCATTGGTTTTTTGTTTTTTGTTTTTTTGGGAGTCGGATCTCGTCAGAGCTTAGTGAAGTGCATATAACGGCCTCGTCATAATAACAAATAGCAAAACGTTTTCAAACTTAAAGCTTTCCAATTTGATTTTATCGCACGGTCATAAACCTCCGACGAACCAGCGTGAGGGTTTCGTGACAGCAGCGTTTCGACGCTTTTGGCGATTTCCAGCTGCAAGTTCGTTTCTTGATGGCAATTGTCTAGATGCATTTGCAACGGCATAGGGAGCGGGCGCTGCATCAACTTTCGTGCCGTCACACCTGGCGTATGAGCGATAAACTACCAAAACGGCGCTGCCCGCTGATAGACAACGTCAGCAGCCTTCAATTCAATGCACGTTTCTAATGCGATGAATTGCTTTTTCAATTTTCCAATTTATTTTTCATTTTGAAACACACAAGCGTGCGTGTGCCTGTATGTGTGTGTGTGTCTGAGTGTCCGAGCAAAAGCGAGAGCAGGCGATTGAAAGCTGCGAAGGAAAAGCGTAGCACACTTTATTGATGGTTTTTGTTGGTGCAGTTGGCAGCGACAGACGACGACGCGACTGAACGCATGAGCATGTGTGTAGATTAGGGGCGGGCACTACAAAGATGTGCCCACATAGCTCGCACACTCACACGTGTCGATATGGCCATGGACACACACACACACACACACAGCCATACACACGCACAGACATTGAGCAGCGGGAATGGCGCCAGCAACACTCAATTTTTGGGGCAAAAACAGTGCCTGACGCACAGTGGAGCAGAAAATTTGACTTTTTGCACTTGCTCGAAAACAAGCAAAAAAAAATATGGAGAGTACTCGCCCAGGAAATACCCTGTGACAAGTACACGAAACAATAATAAAATAAATTATATTACATAATAATAATATTAATAAAACTAATAATAATATAAATAATGATAATAATAATAATAGAGATAATGATAATAATAATAAGATTAATAATAATATTTAAAATAAATAACAATAAAAATAATCATAATAATAATAATATATAATGCGAATATATTATAATTAGTAATAGTAATAATAAGTAGTATTATTAGTAATAATAATAATAAAAAAATAATATAAAAAATAAAAAAATAATAATAAACATGTGTATTATAATTTCTGTATTAACAATATGCCAATGCTTCTCTCTGCATTTAATATATTCCTCGTTTTGATAAATAAATCTTAATCTAATCGTAATTTGATTTTACATTAAATTAATGTTAGCTTAAATAGCCTTAACGATAGTTAATGGCTTGGATCAGCTGCTGTATTTATATGTACAATTACGAAGTAGAGCATATAACATACTCTTTCAAAACAAAAGATCCCACGGTCTCCTTTGTAATTGGGCCGCTAGCTGCACAAATTTGAAAGAACGCAAAAAACGCAACCAGTTTACAATCGAAACTTTCAATCTGATTCGAAAGCGACGGGCTTACTGATATCCGTTGGGTTTACAGAAAGTGTGGTTATACCAACTACAAGGAAATTGAAAAACAAGTCTATTGGACAGGCCAGGATTTCTGAATTTTCAAGCTGTTGCCTGGCTTGAATTGGTTTTTCTTTTAGACATCAAAATTTGAATTTAGAATTTATTTGAAGACAAATCGAAGTATATAAAATTTAAATGCAGTTTTTCTTTAAAACTATTGCCAAATACTACTAATACTTTATTTTTTTTAATAAAAATAAACCGATTTACCAGTTAGAAGCACCACGTCCCGCTCGATAGTGATTGAAAGCAATTGATTAAGACTGAAAACCAATTTGTGATAAATAAAATTATGTGATTATAACTTAATTTAAATTAAATTAAATAAAGTTGCTTTAAATGCCCAAACCTGTATATGTACTTGAATGTGGAAACCCGGTGCAGCTTTAATTAATGCAAAGCTAACTTTCACTTATTGAGAGTGTAAATATTATGATACTGAGAGACCGAGTCCAGTGTGCAGAGAAGTTGAAGAGGAAGAGGAAATCTCCATTGAATTGGCTGGGCGAGTGTTTTTCTTTCGATTTGTGCTGCTTGCTGCTCGACAACAAAACTATGAATTGAATTGAGTTGATTTGGCAACGAATTGGTTTTTTATATCACTCGTGTCGATTTGTAAAGGAGCACCCGGCACCACCCTGCTCTATAAATCAGTGTCACGCAGAATGAAAGTCGCATAAATTTCCATTTCGAATTCGATTTCCCTGCCAGAAGGCGGCCGGCCCCTCGTCGGTCCCTGTTGTTTGCTTAAGGAGAAGGCGGCACCAGCTGGGAGAATGGCACCTGACATAACTGGTCTCTAATTACGTTTGGGCAAACAAACAAAATTGCAGGTGTCAAAACATGAAGTGGGCCCCAGTTGGCCAAAGTGTGCCGACCGACCTCTGGGTCATTTGTGGATGCAACGCGATGGCGAACGGCTGGCTACATCTTCTCCTCTTGGCCCTAGGCTGCCTGAGCGGTCTGGCCAGGCGAGCCCAACTGGATGTGCTGTTGGCGGAGCCCATGCGCAGCATACCCTTTCTCCATGTGCTGCTGCGGCGCGAGCAGCTGCAGGAGGATGCCCGCAATGGGCATGCCATGTGGTTTATGCAGCACGCCGATATGCCGCACAGCGTGCACAGCTACATGGAGGAGCAGCCGGTAGAGATGGCCAGCAGCCTGGTCGGCGTGGATAGCCGGGACAGCTTTGCCCTGGTCATCAGTCTGGCGCAGTTGATCTCGAACCGCGGCGCCGCCAGCATAACAGAGCGCGCCGGCGTCCATTTCTATATAGTGGCTGATCCTCTGGACAGCCTGAGCCCGGAACAGCAGCTGGAGCTAGCGCATAGCTGTCGCCAGCTGTGGACCCAGCATAGAGTATTCAATCGGTACATAATCACAGATACCGACATCTGGATCTACGATCCGTTTGCACGCAGCGCACAAGCCACCTGGGATGGCAGCTACAGTGATCAATGGGGCAATGTCAATGAGTATGAGGAGTCCTTTGGCCGCATGGTGCCGTATTCGGGTGGCGAGGCATTGCCCCATCTATTATTCCATGACATGAAGGGCTATCCGCTGCGCGTGCAGATCTTCAAGTCGGTCTATTCGCGTCCAAAGCTGGATCCACAGACGGGTCTGCTGCGCCACATCACGGGCGTCGACTGGGAGGTGGCTAAGAAGATAGGCCAGCTCCTCAACTTTACGATGCTGCTGCAGCAGCCGGACAAGAACTATTTCGGGTAAGCAGCACTCTAGTCTAGTAGCTGGAACCGTTCTTCAGCTTCTTTTTTTTTTGCTCTTTTCCGCCAGGGAGCGCAGTGCCAATGGCAGCTACAATGGAGCCATTGGCTCCATACTGAACGATGGCCTGGACATTTGCTTGACGGGCTTCTTTGTCAAGGATTATCTGGTGCAGGATTACATGGACTTTACAGTTACTGTCTACGATGACAAGCTGTGCATCTATGTGCCCAAGGCCAGTCGCATTCCACAATCTATTCTGCCCATCTTCGCGGTCGGCTATGACATCTGGTTGGGCTTCATCCTAATGGCCTTTATATGCGCCCTCATCTGGCTGCTGCTGCGTGTGATCAATCTACAGCTGCACATTGTGAGAATTCGAGGACGCCGTCTGTGGCAGCAGGCGCTGGGCATTGTGGTGGACACGTGGGTGGTTTGGGTGCGGGTGAATCTGTCCCATTTGCCGGACAGCTATGCGGAGCGCATGTTCATTGGCTCGCTGTGCCTGGTGAGCGTCATCTTTGGTGCCATATTTGAATCAAGCCTGGCCACCGTCTATATACATCCGCTCCACTACAAGGATATCATAACACTGCAGGATCTGGACGAGAGCGGCCTCAAGGTTGTCTACAAATACAGCTCCATGGCCGATGATTTGTTCTTTAGCGAAACGTCGCCCCTCTATGCCAGCCTCAACAAGAAGCTCCGGTGGAATCCGGATCTGAATGCAGATGTCACCAACGAGGTGGCCACCTTTGGCGGCAAGGCCGGCGTCTCGCGCTACTCCTCGCTCATGATGGAGTCAGTCAACTTTTTGCTTATGCGCCGCATTTGGGTGGTGCCCGAGTGCCCCAAATACTACACCATCTCCTATGTAATGCCCAGAGATGCGCCCTGGGAGGAGGCGGTCAATGCGCAGCTGCTGCGCCTGCTCAACGCGGGTCTCATTCCCAAATGGATTCAAGATCAAAAGTACAAGGTGACCGTCCAGACGCGCACTGCTCTCTTCCACGCCGAGGCCGAGGCCAGCCAGATTCGTGTCCTGACCATTGGTGACCTGCAGCTGGCCTTTTATGTGGTTATTGGTGGCACAATAATTGCCTTTCTCGGATTTCTGGCGGAGCATGCCTGGGCCAGGCACCGTTTGCATCGAGCTGCCAAGAATCTCTAATTGCTGGTAGTTCTGGAGAAGAGTTCAGGTTTTACATACAAGCTGGTAATTGCAAAGATTCTATCCGGCAAAATACAACTTATGAAGAGCATTATCCAAAATATAAAGCACTGCTGACCCTTCTTTGGGTTTCTTTGTTTCCTTTCTAGACCTTGTACCCATTCAAAGTGAGTCAAGGCGGCTTATCCGACTCTTTCAATATATATATCTGATCATGCCATGTTCGTTTGTCCATTCGGCTGTCTGGGTGTCGGCATGAAAGCGTCGTTACCAGAGCCTAAGATCTAGAGACATCAAATCGATAACTGCCTCTGTTTTTCACGAAATAGATATAAATCGATTTTCAGCCTTGGGTTTTTGAACATATCTTCAAGACTAGCAGAGTTAAAGACACCAAAGATTAGATTAGGTTTAAATACCTTTTGAAATACTTTATCTACATGGTCTATTAACAAAGTTACACTTCTTAACTTTAGGCACATATGTATGTCAGGAGAATTGTAAAGCTCAAATTTACACAGTTTGATCAAAATTTGTTTTTTATATAAAAACTAATTTTGCGACCGATTCTTTCTATAGAGCTTTATGATAAAGTAGACAAATGTTGAAAGGATTTTGGTTTTACCAAGATAGCTTGGTAGAGCTCGTCAATGGCAGGATTGAACAAGATATCTTGTGAACCAATTAATTTTTGCGTCAAAGTTTCTTTGGCAGCTATATGATATAGTGGTTCGATCTTGTCTATTGCGGCAAACTGTCTGCAACAGAAAGACGAGCCCATGCAAAGCTTCCATAGGAGCAGACTTAGGCTATATCGACTATACTATTGATACTGATGAGGGATATTCATTTGCTTGAGATCAGAGAAGTCTCCTTCCATGCGTTACACATGACAATATTTTAATTGTTTCTAGTTGCGCACTCTCGACTAGCATACTCTCACTTGTTACAGCTTAAATCGTATTTAAGATGCGAGTTTGTACTGTTTGCAAGCGCTCAACTATGAGAAATTATCCATTGACCCAAATTTGGGCGACTTCAATGCCAGAAAATGCCTCGGATCAATTTCGAATGACGTCGAACTACGCTTTCATCCCGTTTAAGAGTTTTGGGTTGACTATTTTTCTTTTCATTTTATGCGATGATTGCAATTTTCATTCGCCAAAGGCCAGCGGCCAAAATCAACCTGCAATTTCAACACACACACAGACACACGCAAATACACACAACAGCTGAATCGCTTATATAATTTAGCCATGTTAACAATGATACGCGCCAACGGCAATGGAAATTCGGAGGGTACCCAGGGGCTGCTCACAAATCGAATTGCCAGCACCCAAATGTACATTGCACAATTCAAGGCTGCATTGCAAACGCAAGTACAGTAGTCTCTCGCTAGCAAGGCACACACATTTGGCACACAGCCTTTATCTCTAAGCGAAACGCTTGTCTGGCATTGTTGTCGGGTAAATACTGTAACATTTACCTTAGCGCACTTGAGCGATATTCACTGTGGTCGCATTACGCACGATGTGTGCGTGGTTGGCTCTCTGTTTATTTAGCATTTTGGGCCTGCACACGAAATTACAATTAAACGGCCTCAGTGGCAGCGACAACATCTCATTTAGGCATTCAAATGTGCACTTCATATACACACACAAGCACACACACACATGTATATATGTGTATCTACACATGCACATACTCCCTAAACAGGAGGGTACCGACACAATTAAATATTCCTGAGTTTATTGCATCTCAACTGCAACGATTAAGACCTAGACTAACATATACATATATATAAATATATAAACGTATATATTATATTTATGATTGCAATAATAATACTCGTAATGTTCCAGTTGTTGTTGTTTATTGTTCAAGTGTTCGTATCTGCAGGCTATAATTCATCAGATATCTGCCTGCTAAAGCTTGCGACTAATGGGTAGAGCTTAATTGCTTAAGCTCTTTGGCAGACAATGATCTTATGATAATTGAAATTCCAAACCAAATCTAAATGGTTCGAACCTAAACTTAAATCAAATTAAACAAATGCTTTATTTGCCATTAGCTATACACTTTTGATATAACGCTTTGGGAATTTTAAACATCAAGCAACTTAAAACGGCAAAGCGAAAAACTTTATTTATGGAATTTACCAGTCTTTTATAATATGCATACACATCACTGAAAGACCAAAAGAAGTAGAGAATTAGTTAGAGTAAGAGCAGTCGTTGGGCAGCGTAAAAAAAATATGAGAAGGAGAGCAAGAGAAGGAAAGATAGAGAGAGAGAGAGAGAGAGAGAGAGAGAGAGAGAGAGGTAAACAAATAGAGAAATATGAAAAAATCCTGCTGCGAGTGAGAGCACATATAACACTTATATAACTTATACACTCATATAACACTTATAAGCAAAGCATGGACACCTGTTGGGCTTATATGAAATTCTGAGAATCGCATAGCAGGGCAGAGTTAAAAAATACGTTTTATTGTAAATTTGCAGCGCAGTGGGAAGTAAACTTGGCCTGCGTTTGGCATAAAGGAACTCACATGGATGCCTGCATGTACACATATATACACGCATACATATATACATTTATACAACGACGAATAAAAAGAGGAATGACAGGGGGCGTTATATGCATGTTAGTTACGTTAAATTTAACAGAGCTCTGCCATTGCTCTTTTGCCTCTGAATTAAATTAAGCCTTTTGAGGCAGTTGGCTTAAAAACTGTTGCATACGCCCAGGCAAAAAACAAGCTACGCGTCTATGATTCTATTTTTTTTTTTTAGCAAAGCTAATGAGCTCTTGACACGCGCTTCCTGAGCTGCAGCCATCGCATTTTGAGTGCTCAATTGAACAGCGCAGCGAGGTCGGGGGCGGCATGCGTAAAGGTGTTTCGGCGGAGAGGCCAAATCGAAGAGCGGTTCGGAGCCAGTCGCCGCCTTAGGACAAACATTGCCAGAGACGTGCCGCGCATGCTAATGAAGTTGGCATGGCATTGATTCTGGCTTTGAATACGCGCAGCCAGCCACTTAGCCGGCCACTCAGTCTGTCAGTCAGTCTGCCAGTCAGTCTGTTTGTCTGTCAGAGAGTCAATCAGTCGGCATTTGAATATGCAAGCACTGGCAGAAATGTAAACTTGATGATCTCGTTAATGGTCAATTGAAAAGCCCGTGACTATGGATGCTGGCTATAGGGTATACAAGGTATGGGCTATTAGGCAACTATCTGTTCCATATGCACTCTAGCAAAACTCTGAACTCGCAACTTGTCAACTTTTATGGCCGACCCAGAAGTGGCTATCAGCGGCGCCGGGCTTTTGCTTTTTATGGCTAATTAATAGCTCAGCGACCGTTGAACCGCTTTGATCGTCGTGTGCAGATGTTTTATGTATTTCAATAAATGTTTTAGCAGATGCCATAAGCAAATCATATCCATGGTATTCAGTTTTTATGGGCTCGAAATAGCTTGGCAGGCGGCTGGTTTGGCCGGTTTTCTAAATAACATTTCGTATTGGAATTTCCCTTTGGCACGTCTACTTTCCACTGTTATGCGGCAAAAATCATGGTGCCCGCCCAACAGATACCCAGTGCATTCCATTTTAACTAATTTTTAAGATGAGATAAAGAGATGAAGCCTAGTTTTGGGCGTAGAAAAATTTAAATTGAAATAAAGTTAAAATCATTAAAAAATTAAATTTTAAGTCTTTACAAGTTGATTACTTTTTGGTAAACACTTAAAATTGTTTTTGCAGCATCAATTAGCCAGATATTGTGTATATACATATATATTTATAGAGGAGCAACAAATTGATTTATGGAAATTCGCATTCAAACAAGTACTATAATAAAATTGCATGCAAATTAAATTCCATTTGATAGCCATATTTTTTGTGAATATTAAAAAAGGATTGCTGAGAATATTTGTGCTATTTAATGCGAGTCACGTACAGCCTCGGACTGTTTTAAATTGCAATTAGCCAAGCGAAGCTGTACATTTTCAATTTCACGGGTATTTCAATGCAAATTGATAAACTCCGATCAGAACAAAATCCAATTCGAACTCCAATTGGAGGGCCACCCAGCGCGTGTGGTGCTAGCTCCGCGGAGCTGTTCAATTCTACACAATGGAGCAACTACTACATACACGCACACGCACACACACACACACATGATGTACATGCCTATATGTACATATAAATAATTCAAATTCCAAAAATAAAATAAGACTCGCGACGCGCGCACCGAACACATCAAATTTTAGTTTATTTCCGAATCATAACTTTTGTTTATCTTCAATTTGGTCTTGTTGATTTGACCCGATGCTAATGCTGCTGCTGTTGCTGCTGCTGTTGCTGCTGCTGCTGCTGCTGCTTCTTGTTATGCTGCTGGGTTCTGTTTAATCTTTAGCTGATTTTGGCTTCCGACAACTCAGTGCTGCGTCGCCTTTGTCTGCGTCCGCGTCCAAACCTATTTATTTCTCGCCTAAGTGAATTTATATCGCCCGTATTGCCGGCTCTTCTACATATACAAATTAAACATTATTATTTATTTCAATTTTTTTTTTTTTTCATATTTCTCTTGATTCGAGACAAGATACGTATGTACTTGTACGTATGTACTGGCGGCTATTTGAGTGCCATTTTTTTGCTGGCGTTTTTGTGGTGATTCCAAAAACATTTACGGCCAAGTCATTTGATTAGAAATGTTTTCAGTTGGCCCGCAGTCTCGCAGCGCGTTGCAGTCGCAGCTCCCCCACGTGCTACCTAAATATGTATATAGTATATATACTAAAGTTTATAAATTTGTCTATTTTTAATTTCCACCATGCAGCAAATTCCATTTGTTAATTGTCTCGTGTGCTGCTTTCGTATGCAAATTTTAAAAGTGTCAAAAAAATTCGAGAGCATTCAATAAACAAATTGCTTTTTCCTATAATGTTTTTCCTTTTCATTTTTCCATATTCATTTTGTATTATAGTCGGGAGAGTGTATT